ATTTACCATCCTCAGACATGTTACCAGATTTACCTTCCAGCTAAACACAGTCATTTAGAGAGGATGGATATTATTGTTGGCAGACACCTTGAATTGAGGCAGAGGGACTTTAAGAAAAAGCACAGGTGATCTGACAAACGCCACGGATTTGCACTGAAGGCCAGTTATTGCAGAAGAGCCTCTGTGACAAGCCAGCTTGAATGATGTTTTCCTTATAAATGGTAAACAAACCAGTGAGGATTACTGATGCTAGACAGGAGACAGGGGGATTCTTGCTGTTATGGCTTTTTTTTCTTTTTTTTATTTCAACTGCTTTGTAAAAACAACACACTATTAATATTAAATATAACTGCAAACATCATAAATCTAGTATTTACAGTCTCGTGGTTTTCTACAGCATCTTTTTTATAGAAGGCATTTGTTCTAGTGCAATAAATGTGTATAAAGCAAGGTGGGAGATGAAGTGACCCTGCAGCACCAAAGCTGAGGGTGATGTGTGCTGAGCAGGGCTCTGGCCAGTGAAAGTGTCCCACTGGCAAGTGAGGGGTGCAAGGAGTATGTGGTGTTCATCCTCTGGTGTATGTCCAGCACTGAGGACAGAAAACAACTGGTCATCGTAACCAAACTTTCCAAGCATCCCATCCCCTTGATTTTCTCTCTAAAATGCAACAGAAAAAATGAAATCCAAGTTGTCTTTGGAGTGAAATAATTCCTGTTGGCCCAGGATAAATGTCCCTGAGTCCAGTTGCTGCTCCTGAGCTGGTCTGTGGGCATTGAGGTAGGGAGCAGTAGATCCTTAGGGCTGTTTGAGCACTTGTTTCTGAATATTTACTTTTGGAATATTTGTACGTATCAATAGATAGGAGTGTCAGTTTGAATACACTGTTTATATGCATGTTGATATTTTTCTTGACTAGAAATGCAGCAGGAACTTAAGAGAGTTTTAAAGTTGGTAATGAAATTGAAAGGCCAAGAACCTTTTGTTTTAGACCCAATAAAGTGTTTGGTCACATGTGCAGGAAGATGAAATGAGGCTGTTGATGTTCCTATGGAAATTCATTCAGAGGCCAGTGTATGTAACTTCAGGTTTTAATCCTTCATAAGGCAAAAAGAAATAGAGGCGGGGAAGGATATTTTCAAGATCTGAAGAGGGTTCCTCAGGAAAGAGAACTAAGTTGTAATGCCTTAGGGAACATTTTTCCCCTTGTGTTGGGGAAACAGGCAACAGACTGAGGTACTGTCTGCAGAAAAACAAATGGGGGAGGTTGTTTTAAAGAAGCAGAAATCCTTGTGTTCATAAAATGGTCAGGGATGGGTTTATTTAATTCAGAAAAACATTTGCAAAATAAATAAGCAGGTCTTAACTGACCATATGCTAATCTTTCTCTGTGTCTCAAGACTTGCTTCTGGCTAGGACTAGGGATATGGCTTTTTGCCCAATTCTAAGGTTTAATAAGACATGTCAAGTGAAAATGAAAAGTATGTATTTCTGGAAGCTTCAACCTTTTTTGTCTTTTTTTTTTAATCCTCAAGTTCCTGAGTATTTTTTAGTCTGACACTTCTAAGCTATTGAACAGGGTGGGAGGACAAACCTCATTCATGAAACTTTTCTTTTGGCTCACAACCTGCACAAGAGGGATGGGTTTTTCCTCTGACTTCAAATGGAAAGCTCTCCCCTGACCACAAGCATTATGGAAAGGTGTTTGCTTGCTGCTTCATAGCTCAGGAGTGAAGCATGCAGAAAGCATTAGGTGAAAGTGAACTATTTAATGAATCCATTGTTCCTGGTTTGGTATGAATTCCCAAGACCTTGAATTATGAAAGATCATATTAAAAAGCCTTCAGGAGATTTCCCCCCCCCCCACTAGAGCAGTTATGCAAGAAGCCTCTTGCTTTACTCACATGGATGTTCTGGAAATACCTCTATCTGGAAAAAGCTGGGTAATAAGCTATTTAACTGCTGTATAATAGTATCTAACCACTGAAGAATAATCTGGTTTGGGTGTTAAAAAATCCAAAAATCCAGCAAACGTTCAGAGGCACAAAAAATTCTGAAGATGTTACTTGCTTGTGAAGTGCAGCTAAGTATTTTTTGTTGCTTTTAGGTGATTTATATGCTGGAGGAGCAGAATTTTTTGTTTTCTTTAAATTGCAGATGAGATCTGGTTTGTGCATAGTTCTCTTAACTATTCATCAGGAGATCCGGAGCACTGGAGTTAAAACTAAACAAAACAACCCATGATGTCAGACTCATAAAAATTATTTGGCTTTATTTGTATCTTTAAAAAACATGGTGAAATGAGGGGAAGATTTTAAGAGTGATACTGCATACTTGGGTGTTTAAAAAAATACCTTTCTTATGCTGGAGATTTTTAATAACAAACAGAAGAGGGAGTTGGGGGAGTGAGGGCAATGGGGGACTCTGTCAGCAGAGCTGTTCCCAGGTGTTCCAGAGTTATCTGTGTCTCAATCAAAAATCAATGTGAATGAAAATTATAATTGCACCTGTATCTGCAAGGAACTGCTGTCCTTGCAAAATCTGAGTGCAGGTGTGAAATGCCAGTACTTACAAATCTCATCTGTGTTTTATGCAGCGCTGTACTGGGTTTTATTCTGACTCAAAACTCAAAGAGCTGGGCTGTTGTGCAGTGGCTCTGTACTCAGACTCTGCTGATACTCAGCTCAGGTGTTTAGATTGTTTTTTGGTTGGTTTTTTTTTTTTTTTTTTTTTGCAGGGGGAGAGGTGTGTCTTATTCCCCTCCCTAGAAGATGACTTTGCATTCCAGAGTTCTGTGAAGGGGGATGGCATCCAGCCTGAGGAGAGTCTCCTGTACATTTCACCAGCAGCCCTGTTGTTACTGGCTGCATTTAAATCCTTCTAATGCTCTTCTTTCTGCCTCCTGCTCAAGCAGGCAGCTCCCTTCTTGTGCAGTTGCAAGCTTGGCTGCACATCAGCACACATCTCAGCATCAGATCCACCTTCTGGATGAATTTTGCCCTTACACAGGCTAAAAAGTGGCACCTTTTCAGGGCTCAGTTTAGCCACAAGTGAGGCTCAGCGTATTTCTGTCCGTGCTATAGCTGAACAGTGAAACTATGCAATTTCCAGCTGTAAAAAAAAAAGCTGGTCTAGAGTTGGATGGGCTGAAGCTTTGGGGATTTTTTTTTTTTGTTTTTTTTTTTTTCTTCCCTCCTGTGTGGAATGAAAGCTTGGCTTTTGGAACAGCTCTGCAACCACAAAGGAAAAGCACACTGCTGCTGGCTGGGTGGTGTCCTGGCCCCTGCGCTGCTGTAGCTGATTTTTGTGGGAGCTTCCAAGGCAGTCTGACACACACCCTGCCCATATTCCCAGCTCCAGAGCCAGCGACTTCAAAACCTTCTGCTGTTTTTTTTTTTTGTATTGAGAAACCAATGTCTTCAGTGGAATAGGTGCCCTCAGCTCAGCTTTGGTGGGGAAAATACACATTTCTTGTTGAAGGTTTCTGTGGCAAGGCGCTGGCAGGGAGGCAGGTGCTGTTCTCGTGTATTGATTGCTGTGATTTTATTTTGAAGTGCACACCTGCTAAAAAGCACTTTCAGCACAGAGCAAGATCTCCACTGATGAATTTACAGTTTCACTCCTTCCTCTACCATAGATTCTTTCTGTGTGGTGGTTACTGAGCTGAGCTTCCAAGCTGGTTCTGTGGGTAACAGTCGTGGAGAGAAGCAGGGAAAAGAACTTAGAAAAATTTATTTAAAGAGAATGGAGGGGAAATGGATACCCTGAAATACCTGGCATTTAAGTCTAGTTCCAGTACCCTGCATTAAAATGGGGAGTTACTTTTGGCTTGGCCCGGAGGGTCAGCGGCACCCGAGGAGCTGCGGGGAGCAGAGCGGGGCTTTTCCGGGGCTTTTCCGGGGCTTTTCCGGGGTTTTCCAGGGCATTCCCGCATCTCCCGGGCCCAGGCGAGGCCGCTCTCCTGCGGGGCCGGGCGGTGGCGGTGTCGGCCCGGCTCCGGAGCATCCGCCCGGGCAAAGCGGGTGAATCCCTGACCTCAAAAGGATGGGCAGGGGGGAAAAACAAAAAACAAAAAACAAACAAACAAAAAAAAACCCAAAAAAACCCAAAAAACCTCAACAACAACAACAAAAAACTCAAAAAAACCCCAAAAACCCAAAAAACCCACCAAAAAACCCACCCGCAAAAAAAAACAACAAAAAAACCCCCCAAAAAACCCAAAAACCCAAAAAAACCCACAAAAAAAACCCACCCGCAAAAAAAACACCCCACAACAAAAAAACCACCAAAAAACCAAAAAAAACAAACAAAAAAACCCCACAAAAAAACCCCCAAAACCAAAACAAAATAAAAATCCAACAAAAAAAACAACAAAAAACCCACAAAAAACCCCACCCACAAAAAGAAACCCACAACAAAAAACCCACCAAAAAATCCAAAAAAACAAAACAAAAAAAAAAAAACCCCCAAAACCCCCCCAAAAAACCAACCAACCAACCAAAAGAACCAAAAAACCCCAAAAAAACCCCAAAAAACCAAAACACCAAAAAACCCCCACCAAAAACAAACCAAAACAAAAAAAAAACCAACCCCCCCCCAAAAAGCAGACAAACAATCAAAAACACACACACAAAAAATCCCCAAAAACCCCAAAAAACCAAAACACAAAAAAAAACCCCCACCCAAAACAAAACAAAAAACCCCAACCCCCCCCAAAAAACCAAACAATCAAAAACACACACACAAAAAAATCCCCAAAAACCCCAAAAAAACAAAACACCAAAAAAAACCCCACCAAAAACAAAACAAAACAAAAAAAACCAAACCCCCCCCAAAAAAACAGACAAACAATCAAAAACACACACACAAAAATCCCCAAAAAACCCCAAAACAAAACCAAAAAACCCCAAAACAGAACAAAAACACCAACCAACCAACCAAAAAAAAGTCCACAAAAACCAAACAAAAAAACCACCAAAAAAAACCCCACAAAACAAACAAACAACAACAAAAAAAACCAAAACAAAACACCAAAAATCCCCCCCCAAAAAAAGGTGGGTGCTGGAGCTGAGAAAGAACTTTCCACATCATTTGGGAAAATGCAGTGGTGCTGGAAATACTGTGACAGAGACAAATGCTACTGGTTGCCCAGTGAGATTTTTTCCACCATGAGTCTGTTATATTGAATATATGAAGTATGCTCATTTTCCAGTGCCTGGGCAGTTTTTAAAGTATAAGTTTGAGTACTGGAACATTCATAATTAAAGTTTCTGGATCATTTGGGGAGTAGTTCACTTCTATAACTATTATTTTTAAATGTGGTAAAGAATGTGTCTTTATAGAAGGTAAATCCTGCAAGTATTGGAAGTGGGCTTGCTGGAGATCAAATCAGTGGGAAAAAGCAGTGGTAATAATGCAAAATAGTCCTTTCCTCTAATGGACAAAGTCTTCTGTGTGGAAGAAACTTTTTCATTTGGTATTCAGGTTTTTTTCTTCCACAAGGATGACATTTATTCTGTATGCACACACACACACACTGGCAGCTCAAGGACTTGGCTTTTTCATTGTTTAAAAATAGGATTACAGTTTTGTTAATCTGATTATGAATCTAAACCATGTGGGCCTGTCAAGTGGGCCCTCACCGGCTGGTCTGGGTGCTAATCTCGCTGGAGGGAGTGGGATGGGAGCGTGGAGATGAGCACACACCATGTGCATCCTCTGCAGATTTTGGAGAACCCTTGGAATACTTCCTCCAGCCATCCCACAACGAATTGAAAACATGCTGCATAAAAAATGCTTTCATGCTTGTAGACTGTGTTACAAAAGAAAAATATCACATCTTTGAATATATAGTAACCATGATATATAGTGATAGCTATTGAGATCAAGAGCTGTATTAATAGGGAATGGCACTTAAATGTGATTATGCAGTATGACCTTTTGCTGCCATCCAGATTAAAAATACACTCTAGGCAGGTAACAGTATTATAATTCCACTGGAAGAACTAAGCCATGCTCTTCAAGTTTTCTCTAAATCTGCTTTTCCCCCTTTTTTTTTCCAGCAACTGCTCTATGCACGAGAAGGAGAGGGGGCAGAAGCAGTAAAAGAGGCATGTGCCTGCCTAGCACTTTGGAACGTGAGTTTGGCACAATAAATGACACAAAGGCAGGCATGTGGATGTGCTGTGGGAATTGTGTGAGCATTGCAACATTCTCAGGTGGCACCCCCTCTTCACAGCTGGACATCTCAGCCTTAGAGCTGCTGTGTGATCTCATATGAAATCTGACTGTGCCTCTTCTGCAGGTCAAATCCTGGCACCAGGAAAGCTGCCCTTCCTTCTCCTGCCCCTGCCCAAGCATTCTCTGACCACCCCTGCACGTGGTGAGCTCCAGAACCACAACTGCTCTGGAAGGTGGGAACATGCCCAGGAGAGCTCTGGGCTGAGGAGACCCATCAGGGGAACGTGCTGCTCTGCTTCATCATTTCCATGTGTGCTGCAGTCGCACGGAATTCTCAGTTCTGATGACTAACTTCTTTTCTTTGTGGGAAGAAGCCAACTGACAGCTCCTCAGCCCCAGCCCCAACCTTTTCCCTTTTTATTGCCTTTTAACCACGCTAGCTCTGCCTTTTCCTGTAATTCATAGGCCACAGTGGCTCTCCCTTAAATCAGGAGATTTTTACAGCTGATTTGAAGCAGGCAGAGGGTAATCTCATTCCTGCTCATGGACTTGCCACATGTGCCTCTCTTGGAAAGGAGTGGTCTTGCTTTTTTTTGTAGCTTGACTGTCTCTTGGTGTTGTGTATTTCAGGACCTGATGATCAGGCTTGTGGGGAGAGGAGAGAAGCACAGTTTAATGAAGAACCTTTTTTAAGTCCAATAAAAGATCCATGTGTGCATAGGGGCACAGGCTGAGTATGACCCCGGGCTTCATGGAAAGGGTCAGTGCACCAGTAGTTAGAAATAATTGTGAAGCATTGCAAACCCTGGGAAGTAGAAAGGAATAATGTCCAGCTGGCCTTTGCCAAGCAATGGTGTTCCTGCCCCTCCTGGCTTTACCTGCCTTGTGTGTATTCCAGTTTGGACTGTTCTTCCTTTCTCTCTTTTTCGCCATTTAGTTCTCTTCCTCTTCACACAAACACATCTCACTCAGTAAATCTGTGTTCTGCCCATGGGCAAATAAAAGGAGATGTCCTGCTCTTCTTTCCTGTTCACTGTTTGTATTTCTTATCTAGTTTCTATTTGTTTTCAATTTTATTGTTGTTTAATACCATAAATCCTGGTGGCACTTTCCTTGTGTTATTTGTGTTCCTGACATCATGAGTTCATCTGTGCTGACCTCGGTATGAGGGTTGCACCATCACAAGAGCAATAAACCCCAAACAAAAGCATTTTTTCCACGACATATCATTGAGCTCATTAGATAAGCAGTTTGTGTCATTACCTGCTCAATCCCAGAAGCGAGACATGATCTTGTGATCATAAAAAATCTGTCATGGATGTGTCTCTTTGGCTTATTACTGTAGAGTATTAATGTGGTGCGATATCCTCTTTTGCAATGGTTCTTGCTCAAGAGGTTGCTGCCGTTACACCAAGGCTTTCTTCTTCCCAGCTCGTTGTGGATGACATCATGATATAAATAAAATTTAAAATGGAAAAGACTGGCAATTGGAAAGGCCGAAGTGGGCAGGAAATGGAAGAAACCACAATGATAAGCAGGAGGTCAGTGGGTAGAACTTGATAAGTTTCTTCTGTTGAGACTGGAAGGTTTTTTTCTGTGAAATGTGAGGGGCTTGTGGCTGCAGCATTTGAAGCTCAAGTGCTCTGTAGATGAAACGCACGTGGAGATTCAGTGTGGACAAAGGAAAAAAAAAATCTGCATGCAATAAAGTCTTCAATCTCTTGAGCACTCACTATAGCCTGCGGATGGAAACAGACTGACCTATTTCTGGTTGGTTTAATTAGAAAGGTGGGAGAAAAACAGAGTGCCTGTGCCTTGGCTCCCTGTCACCACAGCCAGTGCTGCACAAATGCACCAGTGCCAGGCAAACAGGGCTGGAAGGCTGCTCCTCACTGCCTGCATCCCCCTGGGCTCTGTGTGTGCCATGGGGCAGCAGGGACCCGAGCTGATGCCCGTCCTGGATCTGTCCCCAGCGTGTCCCCATGGCAGTCTGAAGGGCTGGGCTCCCAGTTCTGGCCCCTGAGCCAGGGTCCTGCCACGGGGTCTTAGCGCAGGAGCTGGGATGCCGATTTGGGGTTATGTCCAGCGTCTCAGTCCCTGTCCCCAGAGCTGAGCATCCACATTCTCCGAGCCTCCTGCTGCTCTGGATCTGGGCAGCCGGGCTGAGGTTCTGGCGTCCCAGTTCTGAGGCCCCAGTGTGGGATGCTGGGCCAGGTTCCCTATTCCCCGTGTGGAACGCTTGGTTAAGGTGCCGGTCCCTGTCGCACGTCTGGGCTGGAAGGGCCCTCAACACTCATCTCATCCCTCTCCCTGCGCTGAGCAGCGGGGACACCTTCCCACAGCCGGGCTGCTCCAAGCCCCGTCCAGCCCGGCCTGGAACGCTTCCAGACACGGGCGGGAGGTGCAGCGGAGCCTCTCCAGAGGGGTGCTGAGGGAGCGGGGTCCCGGCGCCCCCGGCCCACGGCCCGTCCCAGCCCCGCACCGGGGGCGGTCCGGCCCGGCCGGGCGGGGCCAGGGGCAGCGCGGCGGGGCCGCACACGGCGCCTGTGCCGAGGGGCAGGGCCGGGGAGGCGGGCGGCCCCCCGCTCCCCTCCCTCCGCTTCCCGTCCCTGCCCCTTCCCCCATGGCGGCGCTGGGCGCCTCGGCGCGGCTGGCGGCGGCGGCGGCGCTGTGAGCAGCGGGCCGGGCGGGCATGGCGGGCCGCGGCCGCCGCGCCTGGCTCAGCGTCCTGCTGGGGCTGGTGCTGGGCTTCGTGCTCGCATCGCGCCTCGTCCTGCCCCGCGCCTCCGAGCTGGCGGCGGCGGCGCGGCCCCACCGAGCCCGCCCGCAGGGCTGCCGCCCGCCGCCCGCCGCCGCCGCCGCCGCCCCGCCGCGCCGCCCCGGCCCGCCGGCACAGAGCTTCCTCTTCGTGGGGGTCATGACGGCGCAGAAGTACCTGCGGAGCCGCGCCGTGGCCGCGCACCGGTGAGCGGCGGGGGCCGGCGGGGATGGGGGTCCGCTGGGTTGCGTTGGGCTGGGTCTGGGATGGGCTTGGGGTCGGTTCAGGTGGGTTCGACTCGTCTCAGCTCAGTTGGGTCGCGTTCAGCCGAGCCGGGCTTGGCTCGCTTCGCTCCCATTCAGCCGAGCTGGGCTTGGCTCGGTTCGCTCCCATTCAGCTGGACTCGGGCCGGTCGGCCGGTTCGCTCGGAGTAAAACCGCCCTGCCCGGGATGCCCTTACAGCGAGGATGCCCCCGCCGGCCCCGGGGCAGGTGCGGGCGAGCCTCGGGGCGCGCTCAGCCCCGGCGCTCCGCTCCGGGCGGGCTGCGGGACGAGCGGTGCCCGAGCGCGGCTCCGCTGCCCGGGCAGCTCGGTGGGACGCGAGGGGTCCCGTGAGCCGCCTTGCCGCTCCCGCAGGGTCTGGCTCAGCCGGCTTCCACCTGGCAGGTGGCCCCAGTGACCCTGCCTGAGGGTCAGGCAGCCCCGCCGATGCGAGGGGACAGTGACTGCCGGTCACCGGCGGAGACACGGGCATCGGAGTGTGTCCCTCGGTGCCTCTGCCTCGGGCGCAGCTGCGCCACGCTGGTACGATCCTTGGCTGCTGCTTGCGGAGCGAGCTGACAGCCTGACGGTAACAGAAATAAAGTTTGGGGACTGCTGTAATCCCCTGGATAGGGAAGCAGAGACCACTGTGCTGAGCTGAAAGCGTATGCTCGGGAATGAGACCCAGAAAAGGCGTCTGGGAACAAAGAGTAAAACCCACCTCGGCTCTCTGCAGCCGCTGCTGAGGCTGGACCAGGTAGTGAAGCAGCTCGGATGAGGAGAGTCAGCCTGGGTGAAACGCTCCGTGCTTCGGAGTGGTTGAGCTAATGCTGGAGCCAGGGTCTCCGAGCCGTGTGTTTGTTACCTGAGCACCCCTAATTCTGGAGCAGGGACAGTCTTGGTGCTTTGCACTGTGCAGCTTCCCGTGGTCCCCAGGTCTGGCTGGGCATGGCCGTGAGTGCCACGGGCTAACGGGAATTCTGTCCAAAGCCTCGGCAGCATCAGGATAATAATCTCTTCTGTGAGAGATGTGTCTGTGGCTTTGGTGCAACTCTCTGCTCTGCTGAAATATGCTGGGATATGCTCATTGCTCCGGTGTGTGCGCCAGCAGGCAGTGCTGGGAGGCTGCACGGGAAGCCTGCTTGGGAAATCGGGAAGAGTTAAGAGCTAAAATGTCAGCTCGGGTATACCCCAGCTCTGGCTGGGGCAGCACCCTCGGAGGAGCAGCCAGGAGCTCTGGGGCAGATCGTTAATAAAACACCCCCTTTAGTCTTGTGCTAGAACAAACCCTTCTCCACGTCCTGCCTGCCCTGGCTGAAAAGTACTTGGCCTTATTGGCCAGTAAGAGCAGGGTGGCAAAATTATGTATGATAGGCCATCATACTATACTAACCCAGCTCAGCTCTGGTTTCAGGAAATCTGCCTTTGTATCAGCATCAAATGCAGTAAAATTGCTTTATTTGGGCAATCTGAGGCATATTGTCCACCAGCAATGGTTTTAATGGAAACTTAATTCCTTCTTCCAGCAGCAGACCTGTAATTAAGTTACAGAAAGCGCATGATTGATGCTTTGAAATGGGTGAAGGAATCTGTTTCTTCAGGGTTATGTTCTCCTTCACCATGTGGGATGGAGCGTTTTGGATTGCAAATCTCACAGGCTGTGCAATTTAGATTTACATACAGAGAGGCTGGAGTCGTGTTGGGACATCGTGTAGCAGGTTTTATGGCAGAATAGTTTGTCTAGCATCCATCAGATTTTGCGTCAAGAATTCTGAAAGGGGAAATTTATCACTGTGTTGTCCAGAGTGTTCTTTGGGGAGGAATTCTCTTTGCTGGTGTGGGAAGGATTCGTGTCCCTGGTTTTGCCTGTGCTTGCTGAACAGTCTGGTGCTGTGGCGGAGCTGGGTCTAGAGAACAAGATCTGCGACATCTGCTCTCACAAAACAATGGCTAAAGATGCAACTTAACAAATTCAGCGAACGGAATTGGGCTCCTTCAGCCCTTAGATGGAGATCTGAGTATCGCTTTTTGTTACACTGCTATTTTGGTTTAACCTCTAGAGATGATGTCTGTTCTTGGAAGAGACGGATAAAGAGACTCTTAGTAGGGCTAAATGCGTTTTTCTCACCTCCGCTGGTGAAAGAAATGAGCTAATGTCCTGGTGACAGGAAGACATCTCTTGGGGAAGATGGGGAGGGGGGGAGAGGAAGACAAACCTGAAATCTTAAATGGCTTTTGATTGCCATGAAGTACTCAAGCAGACAATTGCTGGGATTACTACATTGACAAAGCATCCTGGTGAGCTGAATCGCTGGCACAGCCAGTGAAATGGGAAGCTGCTAGCAAGGCATTCCCGGGGTGGCAGCGTGTGCAGAGCCTTGATACCACACCGAAAGGAATTAGGGATTCAGAGGCTGAATACCTCCAAATTGCTGTGGCTCAAAGGCCATTTACAGACACAGCTAAAAGGGACCAGAGCGGAAAGCATTTGCTGATCCTAGCTGCTGTGAATCCAGATAGGGTCTAACAAGAGGGGAAGCAATCCACTTCCTGAACATCAATCATGAGCAGAATGACCACTGCAAGGCAAAACAGGCCTGCTGGATTTTCGGGAGCCGCCGGCTCTTTGTAACAGTCCTGCTTTTGTAGTCTGTGAGGCAGAGAATGAGCTTTAGATCCACAGGTTTTGGGAGGGCAGATTTGCAGCCTCAGCAGTGATTGCATCTGACAGCCAGGTTAGCACGGTTCCCTTCCAGGAGGCCGGTGAAGTGCAGCAGCAGGAGCCAGGGTGTCACTTGGAAGGACAAGGAATAGTCAGGAACAGAGCTGGGCAGGAAGGAGTTAAAGGGATGGCTGGGGTTCAGGGAAAGTGCAACAATATGTGCTAATGCTTTTGCAGTGGAGGGGAGTTGTCCTAAAAGAGCTGCAGGAAGGAGAGGATGGGAATAAGCAGTCTCCCAGAAGATTTAAGTCTGCTGTCTCAGGAACAGAAATATCAGGCAG